AGCCGCCAAGACGTAACAGACAGAATGGAGAATTGTTAAACTCGTGGAGGAATGTGGCGCAGCTCTTTAGTAAAATATTCAATCTATATCCAAGAAGTGTATTGTATTCGTTACAAAGATGATCTTGTTTTTACCAATTGTACGGCTGTTTTACAAGGGAGATCCGTGGTGCGTGAGCAGAGGCAACAACACAACAAAGAAATTAACATTGAAATAAAATAGTAAATGGTTCGTATTAATAGAAAGCTGCTATAGATGCCCACTAGATAAAAAGTACACAGCCTCTTCTTCAAGGTATGAGCAAAGGAAAAGCTGTTGGACCAAATGAAATAACTGATCAAAGGAACGGGACTTGGAACAAATTTAGCACACACATTTGATAAATGTTCACAAAGAAGTCAAGTACCTCAACGATGGAGCGAGCTTCTTTCGTGCTTCTATTCGTCATCCCGCATCGGGCAAGAGGATCAACAATGCACTTTTTAAACTTCAGGATTCGCCGATGGATTTCGCACGAGGCACCGAGGCCACGTGCTTCTACGCGCGTCTCTTTTTAAATCCTTTATATTAAGTTCGCTTGCGTGCTTGCTTGCTTACGACCGTGCAAACCTTTCGGTCGTTTTTTAACCCACTTCCCGTGATCAAATTGAGCTGACATTTTGCACACAGACTCGTTGTGCGAGACAATTAATGTTCGTGAAATTTTTTTTCCAAAATTTTACACTGTTTAGGGAAAACAAATTAAATATTGAATTACCAATTGCTTAATACTGGCAGACAATCATCTGACCCATAGGTGGCAGCCATCTCAAGCCAGAGGACGAGAGGACTCTAGCCGCCACCCATATAAAGGATTTAGAGTGAAAAACTTTGTTTTTACGGGTTATACTTATTGTTGCCGTGGTTTTCCGACCTGCGTTGTGATTCTATTATGAGGGAGGTCTTCTTCGTCACACACATATTTGATTAACTTCCTCGCGGGAAAAAACAATTCGGCAGTGGCGGAAAATGTATAACGCAGTTACTGTATTTTTAAATGAGTAACAACGGGAGTGATTCGTGCTGTGTGCGGTCCAGTACTATACGTAATTGCATACGAGGGGTTAATCTGGGCCCTCGGTTTGTTTAGATCAATGGGCTGTGCTGCCCTCTAGTGCTCGTGTGGATGTAATACCGTACGTCCACAGAATAACAGGAGCTTCTCAACATTATTTTTGGAACGACGACTCGCTTTAACTATGAACCCCCCAACTTAGCATTTTCATCGGTTTGCATGAACAGACCCCTCCGCCAAAATGTTTCCCCAAAAACCTTAGCCAATTTTCACACGGAAAAAAATATATCCAAAGCCACGTGCCATCAATAGCACCTCTACAGATTCCCAACTGCCTCGATTTATGACTCAATTAAGGCAACACCTGGCCAATTAAATATTACATAGGTACGTCGCAGCGCAGCTTAACGACTTGTCCATTTGCCCAACATCTGTTAAAATCCACCCTCATTGCCACTGCCCCCCCCCCCCCACCAACAAGATGCCCCCCTCTGGGAAACCTGGGAACCCCAACGGATTGGCAGTCTTAAGCCCCATTAATTCATTGCTGTACTAGCAAGCCTATAAAATATTTGCCTAGGTCGTCCCCATCCAAGGCCCACATCTGCTTGGCTAGTGTGAAATCCTCAAGACGCCTGTAGAACTTCGGGGTTCGGTATGGGACCGAAACCTTTCAGCATAGCAGCATCATTCACACAGAGATCATCTCAATTGTGGAGCCTGGATTGTGTGTGCTGGATTATAAATATTATTTTTTAAATGTGTCCACTGGATATCTATCCACAACTACTACTATCAAATAACAGGCCGGAATGTCACCAATTTCGTTAGATCTGAAAAGCGAAGCAAATGAGGGCCTTGTATGAGAGACTGCCTAGGTATTGATTTTATAGGCTTGCTCATACAGCAATGAATTCTTAAATTTGTTTGCATGGAGTGTATAAGTGTTGCACCCTCTAACACGTGGGTTTTATATGGAAACAGTTTTTTTCTCAAAGCCAGTCATTCATGGAATTAGCTAAACACTGCAATACAGGAACCTGCTGAAAAAATATATAGATTTTCTGAGAACATAATTTCTCACCTGCCTTCCATCCTTGCCGTGTCATTCCATACCTTTGTTGCAGAATCAGCCACATCAACTTGATTGAAGACCAGCGATTTGCAATTAAGAAAAACGCGTCAGATTCCCAACAGGAATTATAATTAAATCTCAATCACTCCTTTCCTACAAATTGCTTGCCCCACTGGCAAACAGCTGTGATATCATCACTTGGGTGCCCCGAAGTTATCTTGTGCTTTTCAGCTAAATAATGATCAATTGTGCCAACGGCATATTACTATTCTGCATGGAATAAGTATTTCTGTTTGAAACCCAGCAGGGTGTCGGAATACAGCTTCAGAAGATGATGTAATAACTACGTACGTTTATTGTATTGACCTCTTTATCCACACTAGGAGCATGTTAATAGTTCCTGCAGAGAAGTTTGTCAAATGTCAACCAATCAGCGCAGGAAGTTAGTGTAATTAATAGAAAATAAGTAAGTTACATTTAACATTTGTTGCAGTCATTGGTAACGATGCTTAGATCATCAATTCACTACACATAGGAAAGCAAACTCACCGGTGACTGAAATCTGGATTCAACACCCATCATTTCTGATGGTGCCCAGCCCAGGGCCATTGTGAGCCGAGTGAACCACACCCAGCCTCCTCCTTAATGCCCGGAATTAAAAAAAAAGATAAATTAAAGGACGAAGTAAACCTCTAACATAAAAGCCATTCTTCATTTTCTAAAAAAAGTTAGAATGTTGGGCACAAGTTGCTATTTTATTTTAACTGTTTGAAAAAAGGGGGACAATAAATCATTTGCAAACTGAAAACATATCAGTATATTATGATCGTTATTATGATTAAACTTCTCGCTCATTTGAATGTGGCTGTGTAAAAAGAAAAACCCAGAGAAACCGGAATTGTCTGGGGGTGGGAGTGGAGTGGAGACGGGCACGCGTGCACCTTTAATAATAAAATTACTGCCAGCGGGACCGAGGGCTTTGAAGCGAGGCGGGCCCCGTGCAGTCACCGGGGTTCTCAATTGATGTGAAACGCGAGAGGCCGACAGAGGCTTTCGACTTGTATTTCAAAAAGCGCAAAATTGCTACCACATTTACGGCGCCCGGCCTTCGCGGGACAACCTTTCCCAACTTGCTCCGGCCCTGTCGGAGGCTGGCTTTGAACGTTCAGTTTAAAAGTTTTTTGTTGCTGCTTTAATTACCACAGCCGCCCCCTCCCCCCCATTGCCTCCCCAAGTTTTAATTGGCAGTGGTAGGGGGAGGGGTTCTGTGGAGGTAAGCGCACACATGGGAGCAGGCTGGTTGTGGCCCCTTAATTGAGGGGTTCTTCGTGGGGGTGGGGGGTGAAGAAATTATTATTAAATTCTCATATTTCTAAATGACGGAAATGTTTATTTTTTCATTGGGTTGTGTTAAAACGTTTGTGTGTGTGCGGACATTGTGTTTCGGAGGAACAGAGATGACTAAGTTAAATCGTTTCGTCAGAAATGTTTTGGAATGTGTGACCACTTGTATTAATGTCCACGATGGGCCAATTCATTATTTTAATCCTGAATACTATATATACACTTTCATGACAATGTTCCCGCTAATTTTCAAAACGCCCAAATATTTTTTTTTAAATTACCGTATGAACTAGATGTTTTTAATGAGTAATGTATTCTTTTAAATATAACGGAAAACATACGGTACGATATTAAAATGGTCAAGTTATTAATCATTTGTATTATACATTTGTTGAAACGGGAAAGTCTCACTTATACGCCTCGCTTTCAGGAGAATCCTGCCACGTTTTTTGCAGTAGAGGGCGATGATAGCTATGAAATTTGGACAAACACGGGCATTACTGAATGTAAATTTCACCCATGGGCGGAGTTTGGGGGGGGCAAGGAGGCGTTACCCCCTCCCCCCAAACTGGACACAGTTATTAATTTATTTCAATAGTTTACAATCAAGATGTTAAATATATATGCACCCGCGATTCCTAATGTGAGGGTCAAAGCGAACCCCTGCTCCCCACCCTCCAAAAAACATGAGTTCCAATCATGATTGTATGTATTGAGTTTGGTTAAGCGAGACATTATCTTGATATTCTGCAAATAGATAAATGTAATTCTTAATTGACTAAATAATTGCACTTAGTTTATTTTATATATCGATAAAAATGTAAAATACTGCACGTGTACGTCGTAAATTCTGAATGACAGAAAGTGAAATTAATTCGTGTTATCTTTGCTTTCCATTATACGTTTTTTGTAACCAAAGCATTCTTGCCTCGTGCTTTGTGCACGTATTCAAGACGACATGGGGAAAAAGTGGATGATTATAAAGGACAGCATAAAAATTTTGCTGAAAAATAACGCCAACATTTTTCATGGCCACAATTTGTGTGGACTTTTCAGAATGGCCTCCTCGCATTGCGTGGCTATTCCCCTGGTGCCTCCACCGCTACCAAGTGTTACTTCAGAAACGAAATCGGCCACACGCTCCATGGCAGAAGGACTTTTTCTGACAGTAACTGTTAAGCCTCCGTATAATAAAGGTTTTTTTGGTTGTTAGATTGCGTAAATATAAATGTGTCGTTAAACCTGTCACCACCAGCAGCCACGGCAAATTAGTAAGGCTTGTCACGTAAACAAAACATGCCAATTAGTTACTAGTTCCGCACACACGTGTTGGACAGTAAACCCACACACACACACACACAAACCCTCGTATGGATAATATTAGTCACGAAAGCCTACGTGTTAAACTATATAACTTGTATGTTGAACTTCTTTCGCACCGTACGTAGCCAACCGTGCTAACCGGAGTTGTGCGGAGTGGCGAGGGGGGGGGGGAAGACAACAAACCGACAATGGCAACACACCGCGTGCCTCCTCTAATGTAGCAAAGTTTTATTTGATCTCCTCGCGGCGCGCGGTTTAACGAAGCACTAACGAGCACAAACGGGGATGAAAGCGGCGCGGGGTACACGGATCGAGAAGAGCGCGCGGGTCGCACCGCCACGGATTGCAACACGCGCGCGCACGCGATGCAACCGCTACGATGGAGAGATCGGGAGGGGGGGAATCCGTGCGCGTGCTGTACCACCCCCGCCTCGAAATCAAAATTGCTGACAGACACCAGGCTGCACATTGTAATGTACGCACGCGCAACTGGGAGGCAGAGGTGTCGTCAAGGGACCCAGGGATGACTGTTTTGTCGGTGTAATTCCTTTGGCTATCAGTTCTGGACATCGACTTAGGAGGTGGCTCTCCAAAGGCATACCGCAATACGATTACGTCGGACGGGTTACGCTAATAAAGTATGTGTGACCAGCAGTTATATGTATATGTTTTGATTAATTTATTCATCGTCAGCCTACTTGCCATCTGATAAAACGTGAAGAGTTGTCTACTCAAGCATCACAGCTGTGCATGGAGCTGTCTAAAATGTGCAAGTGGATCGCTGTGGTCAGGCCCTCCTGGTAATCTGGATTTCAATTTTTCCATTGACGTGGCCTCACTCTGGCCTTGTGTGCTGGTGACTGCAGGATGGGTGATAATTGATCTCAAACTGCATTTTCACAGGGTGGCACCTGACCGCACAGCATTCCGCCCGGGCACAGTTTAACAACCCCCGTCTGCACGTATGTACGTATGGTATAACTAAGTTGAAAATACTTCCCTACAACACCAAACAGCGATGAGCAATACACGACAGCACGCAGTCCCGTCCGTCTCCCCACGGTCAACCAGCAATCCTTGGGGTCGCATGCAACCGGCACCCACGCATGCGTTAATTGCGGGAATGACTGACCGCTGGACAAGAAGAGGAGGTGGGACTGCTTGCGGTGGCGACGGCGGCTGGCAAGCGCACGCGTCGCCCACACCTTGTGCGTACGCGGCATGTTTATAACAACGCTATAGCCGCCGGAGTCTATTCGGTCAGTTTCTCTCGCATCGCGCGCCCGAAACACACAATAATGATCAACATTATCAATCATCCTCGTACCCATCTATCGCTGCCCCTGCAACACCGTGGCTCAATTCCCGGATGGAGTGGCCAACCCAGTTAGTTCGGCTTTCAAGAGCGCATGCCCATATGCTCACGCTCGCAAATGATGGAGCCTATAGCTGCAGTTATTTGTGAAACTACACGTGCAGGCGTTGCAATGTCCATGTCTTTGTTAGGGACCGCGTTGTATATTTTTCTGGCATGCTTTTGCATGTATTATTGTCATGCAATTAATTGCATGCATTCAAAATGCAACATTTTTTTCTGTAAATAATCATATTATTCTACTGACAGCTCACTAATTATTGTTTCCAATTTGAATATTGTAATTTTTTTTTAATTATATAGAAGTATTTCCAAAACCCTTTGCTGATGTTTGAAATTATCGTCTTGTATCTATCTCTCTGTTCAATCAACAGGTGGCAATGGGCAGTTCTTAAGCCACCAGAAGCTAATCACAATCAATACACAAGGTAAAGCGAACCGCACTGGGGTAGCCTCTCCCATTGACATGAAGACACTTTGATCGGAACATTCCCGAGTCTGGGATTCACACTGACCCGAAGACTGGACTAAAGAACCAAACGGCTGTTAGTACTAGTTATACAATAGCGTATAGGTTGGACATCACGCTACATTAATTTAATTTATTGCAGCAGATTACTATGTTATTACCATTAGGGGATTTACCGATAGTACATATATATACATATCATATAAACTTCCCTCTTTTAAAATTATGTATCTACTCCGGAGACCACAAAACACACACAACCCCCTGTTTCATACACTTCTGTAAGTACTTATGAAGCTCTAAAATTCATGGGAAACTTTCTGCGATTATTTCTGTGAACATTTACATAAAAAGGACCACTGATCTGGCCCAATGACTCATGATATTAACCTGCAAGTGGAACGGCAGTATATTCGTACGGTAAGGGCTTTTGATTCAAATCTCGACATTGTCAGTAAGGTCTCCAGGACCGTAGCTGTGAACAAAGCCGACTGCAGGAGGCTGCTCAGAGAAACCAAAAAGCACAAATAACCAATGTTCCCTTTTTTAAATAGTACAGGACTGCCTGTCCTGTAAAATCTCAGACGGCTACACTTGACATGTAGATGGTTATATCTTTCGCAACGTCGGCTATGGTTGATCCGACACCTTAGTTTTACCTTTAAACCATGTACAATCTACTTTTGGATGAAGGCCTCTCCAAGCACACCAAAATTACCATAATTGAATAAATTACTCACTAACAAAGAATATTCAAGAGGATGCCCTAACATGTAATCATACCAAACCGTTATCACAAGCCACTCCAACGGCGAAATTTGGGGTCATAAGAACAATTTACATTTTTTGTTAACTTCTCCGTGATTCGTTCTTAATTTATTACTTAATTCATTCTGAACCAATATCTATTGCGGCCCACAATCGTTCAGCTGCACTGCTCTCGGCTGGGCAGACAGGGTCTCTATGCGTGCCTGCCCCGTCACTGTGCTTGAAGAAACCAAGACCTGGAAGCGAGATTTGTTTTATCTTGGCCCATTTCACGGAAGGGATTAGGTGGTATTGGGGTGGTTTATTTGTTCCGTGAACAAAATCGAAATGAAGTCTTGAAAAAAATAACAATCCTGGTGACAATACCCGCCACCAGCTCCCTGCTCATCGTAGACAGTAGTTAAGTACTGTAGACGTTACGAATCACCACAATAGAAAATAAAGTACATTGTTATTTCGACAGCGGCGCGTGCCGGTGCCCACGCAAAGCCACGGCGCTTGCCGCCTCCGTTCCCATTCGTCCGGAGGGCACCCGGCTGCTCGTCGCAGCGTCCGCACCACCGGGTGTGCTGCCATCCACAAACAAATCCACCAGCCCCATAGCCTCCCCAACGGGTCGGTTCAGTTTTTTTGTTTAACAATTTGTCGACGTCATGTTGCGGCTCTGGCCACACGCGGTTTATCCGGATGGGCTCAAGAGTTTCTGCTTCCATGGTTGGAGAAATATATTATTGACACATTGAAATCTGCAAGTTTGCCAGTAACAGAAAGTCTTCCATTGCAAGGGAAACCCGACACTGCTCGTTTGAAATCCTTGCAGTTGCGATAAGTTGCTTTTTATTTGCGTCCACATTCATCACGACTAACATTGTAACGCTGTGGCCACGCCATTCTTGGGTAGATGCGACCAGGTTTAGCGTCCAGTCATCACGTGTTCAATAACCACTCGTCAGCCACTTGATCTGAGCGACGCATTGAGAACAGAGAAGTCAGCCCCCCCCCGTTTCTTGGTCGACAATTGCAAGCGACTCTGTCCACGGGCTGGGGAAACTTGGACCCATCAGGGCCACCTAGTGGCTGTATTTTCATTGAAGTGATTTTCTTGTATTATGGATGGTTTTCTTGTATTTATTTTAAAAGTGTCTTATGCGGGAATGACAGTCTATCATTGCTGGTTTTTCAAAGTATTCGTTCACATTCCAGGGCTTGTGCGACATGAATTTGGCTGCTGGGTTGATGCAGTCTTTTTTACAGTTTTTGTTACATGCTCACGAAAATCCTGAAGGAATGTTGTTTGCCACACGCTCAGCCTGCATTTTCCACAGTGAGCACTCTGTGAAGTGTTCGACTCGGGTAGTAGAATTTAATGCAACATTCTGTGAACTTGGTCTGAGGAAAAATATATACAAATTGTCAGGAAATCATAGCTTTGTTGAAACGAGCCCTACATTACCATGATGAGAAACAGGCACCAATACACATCTGACCAAAAGTCAGAACCCCGGGACACGAATGGCACGATCCAGATGAAATATCTCATGCAGAGTAACAGCACGACTCTTCCAGACTTGGCGGATGGATTTAGCTTGGACTGGGTCCATTTTGTAAATGGGCGACTACGCTGAAATCGTCTCCGAGGCAGCCTCTCTTGGTGTGTATCGTCACAAGAAGTCCACCAGGGAACCGAGACATCAAAGAGATGCCGAGTCAGTACCGTGAAGTGACGGGTTTAATGTCTATAACTCACACGAGCGAGTCTCTACGCGATGTCGCATACAGGAGAAAATATCTTAACACGCCACGGTTAGACGCAAAGTAATAAGCCCGCGTTTAATAAATTATAAGTTACGATGAATTCAGACGCTTTACCAGTGCCAGACTACTCTTTGCTGTGATATTTTAAAACACCTACGACTTGTTCATGTTGTTATAATGGAGCTGCAAGGTGCAAAAAGACTAACATCCTTATCGAAGCACATTTTTTCCTACATAATTTTCTAAGTCTTCATTTTCCCACTTGTCAGCAGGTTGTACTAACATTTCCAAATGTTTGCTATTTAACATCATGGCATGCCATGGCTTTATATAAGGTTTTTTTTACGGTGGCGTACGTTCCGTAAGACTTAAAATGGAATCCTGAGGCAAAAGCAGCGATGGGTGAATCACAAAGAGTGGCAGACGGTGCATGGAATTTGTAGACGTGAGGTTTGAGCCATCGCCCCACTGGTGAACTTCTTCAGTGTAGGCAGAATCATCAGATGGATCACAGCGAAAGAGAGACATGCAGAGCGCACACCTCCGGTAATATCTTCAGAGTAATGCTTTTATCCGTGCAAAGCAATTTGGATTAGTGCCCTTAAGAGACTCATTCGTGGGCTGAGCAGCTCACAAACTCGGAATATGAGGACAGGGCCAATGATTCATTAGTCTTTTTCACGGGGCCTCCAGCTGAATCTTGCGGTGATGATTTTGTGTCAGCATTTTGGGGAAGATGTGCATGTAAACACCTCAAGATTATAAATGTGATCACAGTTTAATTTTACAATTTTATGGTCAGCCTTTCAACATGTTGTTGTTGTTGTTGGAAAACGTGGTCTCAGAAAGGAGATAAAGGCGACTGCAGAGGCTCAGAGGAACCGGGCGAGTAGTTCCCCGACTCCGATGTTGTTTGGTCCTCGCTGGCCGTGGACAGGCGGTTAGCACCGCCCGGCGCCGCTGCCGCGGCCCCGGCCCCTGCTACCGCCACTCCCCCCACCGCCCCCCCGTCCACCCGGGGCAACCCGGGCTGGCGACGGCCCCTAAACACCTTCCCCTCCTTGTCGAGGGAAGTGGTCTGTCGGGAAGACCGAGAGAGAGAAAGAGGGCAGGAGGGAGAGCAGCAAGAGACACATGGAGAGGAGAGGACGGGGGAAGGAGCGGCCAGGAGGTAATGCAGGCAGGGAGGAAAACGTCAAAGGTTTTGGGCGCATGGTGATAAAATGATTTGTGAACGGGGAGGTCGTGTTAGAGGGGCAGAGTTAGAACAACAAGAAATGTCAAGGACAAAAGGACAAGTAATGCAAATAAAGGTCAAAAAACAAAATTCAAAAAGCAAACAATCAAATGTGACAGCGAGTTGGTGCGAATATAAAATGAAATAAAAGTAAACCCGTATTCATAGTCACGTTATGAATATATTGGCAAAAGTAAAAAAAACAATTCAATTTATATATTAAAATTGCAAACGTGAGAGGAAAAAATGCAAGGTTGTGCATGGTAGAAGCGTGTCACGGACAGGTGTTAGTGAGGACCATCGGGGAAATATTTTTAGGAGAGAAGAAATCATGAGGGGGAAAAAGGAAGGTGGCATGGGGGTGGGGAGAAAGAGGGGCAGAGAAAAGGGAGGAAGGTGTTACAAGGGAATCCATGCAGAGATTCAGGCACAGAGGCCCCCGGCGGCACACACTGGCGCAACACTGCAGGTCGGCAAGGGGATAAATGATCGGTTATGAAATGATGAACCGGCCCAATTTTCACTGCTTCGTTTGTGTGTCTCGGACATGCTCATGGGACAGCCTGGTTCCAAGGAGGACGCGCAGTCTTAAGTCCGATCCAAGCTGACCTCTTGTTAGCCTCTCGTCACTCTCCGCACCTTCCACAGAGCCAAGCTATTCCATAACATGATGGGGTGAGCTACGTTGATAATTGAAATTTACAATCTATGGAATCTCAGGACCAACTGCCTTACATTTCAACCATCAGATGTGGCATGATAATTAAAACTGAAAATGTATCGTGGCAAAACAACATGTCTGCAAGGGTTTCATTTCAGTAGCAGGTGTTTTGTCCACACAAACGCAGGGTTCTCATTGGCCAATATTCAGGAAGCCAAAATCCAATGTCAAGATTGATATCCCTTCATTCATAAATTGTCAGCTTTTAAAACATCATGACATGGTATATGTTGGTCAAGGGAAGAAGTGAGTCTGGTCGTTGTCATCTGGGTGCGGTTTTTAATGCAATACTAACACGAAATCCAAAATGACCTCAAAGAAGACATTTTGTTGCCACTCGATTTTTGAGTGGAAAATCTGTTTGCCAGGCAATGCCCTGCCACTCACAAAGTGGTGCCAAAGGCTCAATTCCACGGGGCACACGTGGATATTGCTGAAATGACAACAAGCCCGAACGCTAATGCATGGGGGGGAGGGCGAAGGCAATTAAAATTTTGTCAGTGGGCAACATCTGACATTCAACAAAATTATGCCAATCATAATCGTATTATTTGTTTAACTCGTCCACTAATGTCCCACCCAGACCAATACATGCCATTAATCTTTTAAACGCACTTACAACGAATTTATTTTCCAATGTTTTTGTCTCAGCCGCGGTTCATTGTAACATATTGGGCTGGTTTACGTCTTTTCCTTCAATAATTCTATCGTGATTTTTTTTGCAATCCATTTTCTTGAAACATGCCTGCCAAGTTTATTATTTTCCGGTAATTTGGTGGCTGAGCTGAAGAACATCAGCACAGCCTCAAGGTGTGGAAAAGTCCTTGTTAAAAAAAAAACCATGGCTATAATACGGAACCAAGACCCACAGAGAATCTCATGAAAATGTCCATTATAAAAAATAGCAATCACTTCATTGACAGCAAAAGACGCTGCTAACAATGGCAATTTAAACGCATATGCTTTGAGCTGAGTGAGGACCGTAGCAACACAGCGCTTATAGAAATCCCCACTCACTGTGGATGGTTTAAGATTTTCTGGCAGACAATTACAATTGTTCTACATGTAAATAAACAAAAATCTACGTTCTGGGATTTACAATGATGTGATATAAAACAAAGGGGCCTTTTTGCCGTATTACACCATTGGTTTTTTTTGTCAGGGAGGAGCTGGGGTGAGAGTCGGTGGACACATACATACCATTGTGTGGGGATCTAACAAGAAGATTAACCAGTCACAGGTGATGGGTGGGGTACGGTTAGGGGAGGGGATTTGGGAGAGGACAAGGGACAGACACAAATCACTGCGTCAAGGCTGCGAGGGACAACGACCGACGATTAGACACTGACAGACAAGCAGCTGGGGTGAAACGCTGAAAAGGAAAACAGATTTGAGTTACGAACGGCACACGCTCCTCCCACTTTGACAATGTCTGACAAGGTGGCCCGGAAACACGGGTGTCAGAGATACTGAGCTGGCCCAACTGAGATCCTGGGTTTGAATCTGGGTTTCAGGTGCTTATGGTTAAATCAGACTCAGTCAAGTGAGGCAAGATGATGCTCTCAGCTTGGAGAGGAGCTCCATCAAACACCCTGATCTCAAACATCATGTAAGCTCAGTAGGCTTTGAGCCTGGTGTGGTACTTGAATGGGCGACTATTTTTAAATTCCATGTTCGAGGCCGTGAGCTGCAAGCTGGCCAGATGGCAGTAAGCAATTTATTCTTCAATCTATCTGTGTGAATATGTGAATGCTCTTCCACCTTGTATGTGTGGATTTTCTCCAGGAACTCCAGTTTCCTCAGACGTGCCAAAAACTCATTATATGAATTGGCCAAACATCTTAATGCATGACCCTCCTGAAAAAAAAATCTTCAAACTCGGAGGAGCTTTCCTGTATAAATAAAGGGGGCATTAAATGCAGGGATCAATTCAAAATAAAACTGTGACTGACACGACACGGAGTCATTTGACGGGATAGCAGCACCAGTTGCTGCTGATGACGAAAACAATCATGGCCAAAAAAGACAGTGATTATGAAAATAGGCGTCGAACATGTCTATATGCCAGCGAGACAAATGACCATTGCTATAGCAGAGGTAATGATGAACACACACACACACATTTGCACTGAGTTTGAATTCATCACTTGGCTTCACTCACTGGGATTTGGGGGTTGTTTGGGCCACTATTAGTGACCCTTTGCGTGTTTATACGCGTGCAATGTTTCTGCTCGGCGACTCGTATTGATAAAATCGTATTTTAACCGACACCTGGCTTCTTCGAGTTGCTATTAGCTCAACGCTGTCTGTCACTGAGAGTGCCTGTGGTGTCTCACACGGCTATACCAGGTGTAGCCACAAGGGGGCAGGCAATACACACATACGCACACTATAGTCACAAACGCACACTAGCTATTAACAACGATTCCTTCTAGATTTATGCAGTACAGACAAACCTCGCATTCCCACGTCAATTATTTATCATATAGGTTTCCCTCATTTTATGCGGGTTAGGTTTGTGCGATTTCGCATACATGCGACTCATCCATTTCAACACAAAAGTCACTCTCTGAGGTTTGAATTCACTCCACATGCGGCTATGCGGTCAGACATGGGACAATATTGTGTGTTTTGTGTGTACTGTTTGTACTGTGTGTGTGTCCTGTATGCGCTAGTCGGCAGGCCGTCGTCTCGTGCAGTTTCGCTTTATGTGCCTCTTTTTTACGCATCGACCGCACAAAGCGAGGAGAAACCTGGACAATAATCAGTATGTGTTGTATTGAAACGGTCAATTGCACAGTAACAGAATTACAGCACAAGAAACAAAACCTGAGAATCGTGGGCAGGTCAATATCATGTCCCATACATCTACTCTCGCTCACCTGAAGACGATTGCTTGTGTTGCGATCGAAACGTCGTGATATTTTTATTATTTTTCTATCTACGTGGCTTTACCGAAAGACCCATAGAATATCTACATTTCCCTTTTAATCTAATGGCCACGCAAACACCCACATATATACTGTATATAAAATATTTAAAAACACAATAGCGGCAATGGCTCATTTACAAATGGCATGTAAATGGTACAAATGGTATGTTTGGCAAAATTATAAAATTCACACAATTGTCAGTGTTGTATTTTGTAGTTTAATCAGTTTCAGCCTCGATGCGTCTATGCCTCTGTGCATGCATACGCACACACATTTGTTTCGCAAAGTAACACAATCTTCATCTATATAGGTAAGTCGGTTCAAGTCTCCAATTAATCATGTACATTTTGTGTGGCCACCTCCACTCTGAATCCCTCCCCACTCCCCACCCCCTGTGAAAGCAGACGCTGCTCTGTGCGGCGTTGAGGCCCTTATGTGGATTCTTCCTCCACATCCTGATCTTTCATGACCCTTTCGTCCTGTTTCTCCATTCTAGTTCCATCCTATTCCTCTTATTTCCCATTCTTCTCTCGTTCCTTTCCCATAAAATTGTCTTTCTCCAAATATGACCTCCATGCCTCTACTCCCCTTCCCGTGGTGTGCAACAAGTAAAACGTTCCTAGTGCACACAAAAAGGATCGCCTTCTTAGTATTTACAAAGCGGTGCACAACCAATAGTGTGGATTCACAGGGTTTGCCTTTAGACGATAGGGCCACGTGCTGTTAGTGAGCACGCATACCCAATACAAAAACAATCACTCAACTGAATTAAGTACGCTATCTCCTGCAATAAAAATGCATTTTGACTTAATAACAAGAAATCACATTTGTATTGCACTTTTAATTGAAGAACCACAATCAAAATATGAATCATACAACATTGAACCATTTAGCACATGATTCTTATGGCGGTACCCTGGGGTACCAAATAATACTAAATGGCCGAGGCAATTAAATATTTTATTTCTGGGACACTATTTTTTTTCCAGGGGTGTACTTAACTCCGCGACTGGGGTACCAATCAATCCGAAATCAGTGCCACACTCTGCGATGTCGAAACGCCAAACATTAGCATTAAAAATCCGTTGTCGAAAAATTCTACTTTGAATTGTGCATCGTGCAAAGCTTGTCGAGATGAGTCGATTGCTGCATCGCCGACCATCAACGGACTAAAAATGACTGCATCACGGACATTATACGAGAGCCGGGGTACTATGGTACTATGGTACTATGGTACTATGGTACCCCGGGGTACCGCCATTAGGTTCATATCATGTTCTCTGGCATCATCCTACCACACTCAAATATTAGCTATACAGCAAATAAATATTCACCAAACATTCCTTATTCATAAGCAATGGCCATTTTGAATAACATTTGTAAAAAGTAATGTTTTGAGGCTAAGGGGATGTGTTGGAAGATGGTTCCATGATGTTCGACCTAACTTAACAAAAGCTCTGTTACTGGTGCTAGCCAGAAGGGTTGGCGGGGATACCAGGAGACAGGAGAGTCCGCTGGTTGTAGTAGCCGAGATCGGTGCAAGGAGGTGCAAAGTAGTGAAACGAGAGGGCAGTGAAGCAAAAACCGTTATTGTACCATACTTCCATGCCCCCACCATCTATGCTCCATGCTTTGACCAACTGCACTGACCAGTGTCATGAATCCTGGTCAAAAAAACTTCCGCGACCCGCACGGCGTAGAAAGTGGATGCACGTAGAGCAATACGTACAAGGAGGCGCACGCCTCATTATTCACACGTGAAGGTGACATTTGGAGTTTCTTCTCTTAAAAAATATGCACGGCCGCCATCCTCGGGCCTGCACAGCGGCGCGTAGGGCTTACGGTAATGACGGCGATTCCGGCGCTCGAGAGCCCACCCGCTTTGCCCGCGTTGAAGTGCTTCTCGATCTTCCCTTTGACCGACATCCTCATGTCCTCGTCCTGCGCCACGTCATCCTGCGAGCAACACGCGCGCATGCCTCACGTCGTCGCGAGATCACGGGGGCCTCGACAGCGGGCAGGCCAGCGGGCGGGTGGGTGGGTGGGCGGTGGCCCGCCGCCATCCGTTACATCGCGGTGATCTGCTGAAACCGTACGCTGCCCCTGTCCAGCAACTTTGATCCACCAACTTCGGGCACCTGAGTGTACCATGGACAAATCTGCGTTCAGTGGGTGATAGAGCTTTCAGTAGTCAGGCGCCTCTCATTTGTGGAATGTCTTGCCTCAGTATGTTCGGAATGCTCCGCTAGTCAAGGTTTTTAGGGCTTGTCTGAAAACACATTTATTTTCTCTTGCTATCCGTCTGTGGAGTGTTGTTTTCCTTTAAGTTTTAGTGTTAAGGGTTTTTACTGGGATTGTGTTGTAAAGCGCTGTGAGGCCCTGTGTGAATGGCGTTATATAGGTAAAGTTTTACCTACGTATGGTGCAAAAGAAGTTCAACATACGTACATAGATCTCATTACGTATTTGTTTCAATTGCTCATGCTTAGAGGACGGAAAGACATGGTCGTGTTCGTCGTTAAAAACACTGTTTTACGAAATTGAAACGGTCGTCTCTTGAATATACGGGAGAATTTAAACGTACATTTGCCAAAAAATAAAAAAGTGCCCAAAATATTACTTCATTGGAAAACACATTGCAGCAACCACTGCCTCTACTTCAAAACATAGCAGGATCTTCCTGGAAGAGAGCTTAGACTCAGGCTTTGCTGGGTAATTAAAAGGTTGTTGAATTGAATGGGGAGAAGGTGTTAGCCAGGATACACCAATAACAATGGACGATATAAAACATGTAAATTGAGTTGTAAAAACTTATTTATTACTTATACATGTCAAACTGTGAATTTGGGCTTTTCAGTGTTCTGTATTTGGTAAGCGACTCTGTGCGTGTATCAGTTTATGTGGCCAGGGGAAATGGTGCTAGAGTGGTTTGCACCCTGAGCTTCAATACCAGTCACCTGGACTTAATTCTTGTTCACACACAATAACTTTATCTGAGCCAAGCCCTGGCCCGATATAGATTATCTCAGCATGAAATGAGTATGTAGCATGGTGTGGTCATTTTTAAAGACATAGGCAGCGAGGCACGGTGGTAGCCGTAACTGCCTCTTCCTGTGCTGTGCCAGCACTAACATGTGCTCACTAACAGCAGTTGCCCAGTCAATATCTAAATAAAAACTGAAAAAGCTTAGCTCAAAAAGCCGATGAGACTCGGAAAATCAAGACCAATCCAATTGCTTGCTTTGGGAACGTCTGGAAAGCCAACAGGCCAGTGGACAAAATTATACATATATATTTAGAGACACAGAAGAGAATTCTGATAATATGCTTTTACAGATCGAATCTAGGAGTCCTAGCCATAACCTCTCGCTGTGTCGGTGTGCATGAGGGAGGAGCTGCACTCACCGCAACCCAGGGGTGAGCCAACACCTGCTCGGCGGAGAACCGTTTATCCACGTCCACCTGCAGCATCCGAGAGATGAGCTCCTGCAGGGAGACACGCATACATAGCCCGCCACCCAGGCATCATTATCGCCAGGTCATAGATATCACACCCACAACACACAACAGACAAACCACCCCCACCCCGCTCGTATAGCCTGCCCAGGCTTTTGGGGCAAGTGCTGTTGGTAAGTACCCTACAAAGGCCGGCATGGCACGAGGAGGTGAGTGGCCAGCACCACGCCTGGCTGCCTTTGTCTCTCCAATGCTGATGTTTATACACCGAACCAGGTACTCATTTAAGACTGCGTATACTGAGGACAGGCCTAGGCCCGGTTCAAATATCTGCCACTGTTATTGGTCGCGAGCAGCAATCGAACCCGGTCCGCTATGTTCGTAGCGCAGTTAACTAATCACTTTACTACCGCTCCCCACACATATTTCACGCAAAAATACACACACACACACAGGCGCACACACAGAGTACAAGTGTGGTATACAAACCTTAGCAGTGAGTGAGATGTTATCCCAGTACGGGGATGGAAAGTCCAGCTGCCCCACCAGGATCTGATCAAAGAGGGCCTCCTGGTCATCGCCATCACTCCTGCACACGGCACATCACCATCATCATCATCAACATCACAAGGCCACAATACACTTTTATCAGCAGAACACACAATTCCCCGATGGCATGTACATATACAGGCCTTACGCCAATCCACTGCTGGATGAGGGCCTTGCCAAGATCGTGCATATCATAGGGATTATTTGACCATACTTCACCATGCTGCCAGTACCGGATTAAGCTAGTGGGGGGCCTGTAGCACATGTTATAAAGGGGCCCTAAATAAAAAACACACGTAAATATTAAAACACATAAATGTTTAACTTGCATAGTAAAGTAATTATATATTTTTTATTTGCTATACAGCCAGATGACACATCGCTAACCTTAAACACCCAGTCGTTCATAAAAGTTGAAGGCAGTATAGTACTATAGTAATAGAGCAAGTGCAGAATCACTGAACCGGAATTGATAGCTTGAGAGCATTTAGCGTGCGGCCCTTGAAAGTACGGGGCCCGTAGCATATGCTACTTTTTCTACTAGGATAATCCGGCACTGCATGCTGCACAGTGTGGGTTGGTGAAGGCAGGGAGCATAGACGTGGGAGCAAAGTACAGCACAACAATGGATTTTTATGCAGCCACGAGCTGCTGCCCAGACAGGATATGTTCACATTACAATTTTAAAGATTTATTTGGACTTAAGCCTGGGAAGGATTACGACATTTTACTGTGGCATTAAATTATGCACATTATAATATATTATATAGTATACTGAGAAAGAGTGACTTGCTTGAGCTTGTGAAAACATACTGCTAATTAGTCCTGAAGTAACACATGAGGTTTAAATAAGTGTTAACTGTGAACTACATTCTTGTTAAATCTTGTTTTAAAGCTTTCTTGACTGCAGAAAATCATATTCTTGGGTCTTTCGGTAAAGCCATGTAGAAAAATAATACAAATAAAAATAATAAAAATAATCACGACATTTCGATCGCAACACAAGAAATCGTCATATATATTCCGAGCAGCTCTACCGCGATATTTCTCACCTGATGACGATTTATAGTGTTGCGATCGAAACGTCGTGATAATTTTTATTCTTTTTCCACGTGGCTTTACCGAAAGACCCAATAATTATACATTCTTGTTACTTGAAATAGCTTTTCATAATTAAAAGTGATTTTAAGTAATGTTGTGTTTTTTCATATATAAGTAAATTATAATCTTAGTATCTTCACGAATATCTAAGTATTTTAAATTCCGATGAAAGCCATTTCTTTTACAAACCCTAGGTATGCACTACGTTGAACTTCTTTTGCAACGTACGTAGCCAACCGTGCTAATTAGAGGTGCAAACCCGAGCATGATGGTCTCAATGAAAAAGATCACAATGATGATAACAAGGATAATGACGATGACCGTGATGGTGCAAGGCTGTACTGACGCTCGGAAAGGAGGGAAGCCACACAGGAGGATGTAGGCTATGACTCCCGCTGCCCAGATGTCCACCTTGAGGCCGTAACTGCGGGGAAGAGGGCAGACGAACGTTAGGTCACAAACGCTGAGATGTAAAGGCCCCGGGCTTAGAAAACACACAACCCACATGGCGGCGCGAGACCTGGTGTCATGATGAGGTCATATTAAAACTCCCTCTGACTTCAGGATTCAGCTGAAGGTGCCGGCACTTATTCAGAATGGCGCACGAGGAACCGTGACCCATGCACCGCACCGCCGAGTTCACGATCGAAAAAGGATTTAGTCTGTTTTGCGAAATTTGTGCCCATTACAAATTATTTCATTCTCATTATTAAATATCAAACGTCAAGGTAGTCTGGAATTATAGCATGGTTTACTTAATGTTCTGGCAAAAAAACAGCAGACTATAATATCAGCAAAGCCAGCTATTCGCTGAAATATTTTTTACAATTCACATCTGCTGGGTCTGTGCAGTGACTATAATACATGCCTTAGGGTAACAAAATAAAACGTCATGAATGCCCTTGTGCCCTTTTGCCCAATTGAAAGTGGTATTGTTTGGTTGAAAAATCTGAGTTGTACTGCATGAGATGTAAGCTCTCGAAGAAAACAAAAAAGGAGGAATTAGCATTAGTAACACAAATTAAGAAGCTGATTTTGAGTTTAAAACTTCACTTAGAGAAACATGATGTCAATTATAAAGAGCGGATGTGGTGCTTCGACGGCATCATTACGGTTCACCTACTGTGCTTTCAACTGCTCTCTTTCCCACGAGCAAAGCTCCAAGCAAAAGCCAGAAGGCTCGGAAGGCACAACCAAGGCGTGCGTCTACAAGATAAGAAGCTAAAAGCCCCACACGACAGCGACGGCACAAGAGAGCGACAGGAGAGAGTGACAGGATAGCAACACAAGGGCGTGCTGGCGAGGCGGTCGCACCCGGACTCGGCAATGATCTCGGGCGCGACGTAGGTCGGCGTGCCGCACACGGTGTAGAGGGGGCCATGCACCACCGTGGCCAGGCCAAAGTCCCCCAGCTTCAGAGACTTGCTGCCGTCTTCGTACTCGCACACCTGCGGCACACGCCGGTGGCAGGTGAGTGGTGGCATGGGCAGCACAACGGCACAGCACAGCTGCGGGTGCCACAGTCAAAGGCGCAGTCCTGCAATTTCTTGTTCACGCCACTGCTGGCAGAAGGGCCTCCACTAGAGGGAGCTCTAGAGAGCCCCCTCTATCAAGTGTGTTTCGCCTACTCTTCCAATCTGGCCAGACGTCTTGGAACAGGTGGAAGTACCCGCACTTTAGCCTACCGCGTGCGACCCGCTGATCGACTGACTGTGATTGAGCCCATTTATACTGCTGGGTGGAAAGACGCGGAGGGAGGGGGGGGGGATTTAAGACATTTTCCCATTGTTTCAACTGTCGCACTTGGAGATCGAACCAGCAACCCCTAGATTGCAAGTCCCGTTTGCGCTCAGCTCTCCCTGACACTAATAATTCCTGTAAACAAGGAGGTAGAAGCCGACTGACAGAAGTTAAAATGGTAAAATTTATTATTATTACGAATGCATACTTTTTCTGATGAAATAAAATCTATCGTCCACTAAAAACAATGTCAGTGAAGTGATGCTGGAGCGGAGGGGGCAGGTTCGAAAAATACTTTGTTAACAGAAGCAGGGAGTCAAACCTGCATCATTCACGCGTGCAACAAAGCTGTTTGAGCGTCTTATTCCCCCTCAGCTACAGCGTCTCCACTCAGAAGATACTGATTGTTTCTCTACTTAACATGCATACCACTGCCGCAGCCTCACGACCCAATGGCCCTCCCCAGCATTAGACGTTGCCCTCCCTCATTGTAAAGCGGTGGCGCCGCTCCAGGAACGGCTCTCGCTGTGGCCTCGGCTGCTCGTCACGTGTCTATCCCAGTCTACCAGTACCTTGGATATTATTCACTGGGAAACTAAGCCGTGTGGTACAGGATGTACGTATGTTGAACTTCTTTCGCACCGTACGTAGCCAACCGTGCTAATCGGAGGTGCGGGGAAGGACAAAAAACTAAACACAAAAATCAGTTATAAAGAAATTAGTTTTCAATCTAGATTAGAAGCCAGCACGTACCAGCAGATTCTCGGGCTTGATGTCGCGGTGCGTGATGTTGAGCGCGTGCAGGTAAGCCACCGCGCTGGCCAGGTTGTAGAGCATTCCACTGGCGTCGCGTTCCGTGTACTTTGTGGACGACGTGATGGCGTCAAAGAGATCCCCGCCCTGCGAACACGCGGAGCCCGCAAACGACTCACCGGCTGTAACCCACTCGCCGCGCCCGCGTGCGATGGAAAATGTTGAAGAGGAAAAGGTGCAGCCATGCAATTTCTCGCTCAAGCCACTGCTGGCTGAAGGGGCTTCCACGAGATGGAGCTTTCGAGAGGCTCTCTAAGAGGGTATTTTGCCTACTCCTCCATGCCAGACATCTTGAAAAAGTATGGAAAACCCACAATAGACTAATTGTGGTGTACTGATTTATACTGCTGGAATGGATTATTCCATTTTGGACACTTCAACATTTTGGTTTGATTGATATACAATTAACAATCTATGTAAGATATTAACATGGCTAAAAAACGTATTTTTAAGTGACTTCATAAATAATTCTGTGATGAAATTTTCTGGGGCTGTTTTCTGACGTAAGGATCGTAGCTGCCAAGTTCGAAGTGAAAATGCATGCATGTATGTTGAACTTCTTTCGCACCGTACCAAGCCAACCGTGCTCATCGGAGGTAAAACGTCTTCATCTCATGACATGATCTAGATAGCACAACTGGGAAATAACTGGGGATGAACAAAATATATTTGGAGTTCCTTAAATTCAAAAATGGAACAGGCCAACCAGCCCAAAAGGGACCCTACTGCAAATGAGTTTTTCAGACTCAGAGGTACTTTTGATTAAACCCTATTTACTGGGACGCACTCCGACTAAGGATGCATTGTTGATATTGTTCATACTAAAATGGTAATATGAATAAATAGACCTACTGTTTTCGTGAATAAATAACATAACGCATATTTAATTCATAGGGCCCTCTGAGGTTTTGGGGCCTGGATAGATGTCCCCTTCGCCTCCGCTTAAATGAAGCCCTGGGCGCACCTTGACGAGCTCCATGACCATGTAGAGCTCGGAGGGTGTGTCCACCTCCTCGACGAGCAGGATGATGTTGGGGTGCTTGACGCGCCGCAGGATGGACACCTCGCTCTCGATCATGTGCTCCTGGGGGCGGGGGAGATGACGTTGACGCCGCCGTAGTCAAATTTGGCTGTGATGCGGCGACGACTCAAAACGGCGTCGCGCGAACGACCGCGGCAAACGAGTGACCGCGTTGCGCAAAAGTACTCAGCTCCAAGGAGGCTTGATAACCTGTGCCATGTGACATATCACGTCGTATATCCGTACCCCTCATGAATTTATGAAGAAATTGACCACAAGTGAGGCTGGGACTAAGACGTGTTTTTAATTCGAGGCAGGCAATTCTATTTCCAAAGCACTTGCAAACATTTCATGACGTGTCTTTGCAGCTGCGCTAGAATCCGTTGCCATGAACACTTACAGCCCTTCTGTCAATCCGATCTTGGGTGAGGCCCTCCCCATGCTACACAAGTCGTAGCAGTTATTTAACCTGACTACATCACGCTCGTCAATGCAGGTTGGTAAAGGCGGGAAGCATTAACATTCGAGCACAGCGCAGTACACCAATGGAGTTTGCTGCGATGCCTCATACTGACAACATAGCGCCGCAACAGAATATAGAGAACCTGTATTATCCACGGTGGTCACCCATCGAAATTACACGTGCTGTACATTTAAAGATGAACTGAGTAAAAAAATCCAAGTGACCCCATCATTACACAGGCACTGGGGAGTACATATTTTTGTTAATGGTTTTAATTAAGTGGTTAAAATTCCACATTCCTATGGCCGGTACCAGTCCCATCATAGTACAGCCACTATTGTTGACTTCCCACTGATTGGTGCCTGGATCTTATCCATGTGGTGTTGAATGCATTAACACCAGAGGAACGATGATGACAATAGGGTTGAGATGACATTGCCTGGGATCTGAACTCATAATTTCACGACTGGGGTCATGCTGCTCTCCCGACTGAGCTACGTCCCAACCCCATGCTCAACATGCAAGCGCAATCTACAGAGATATCCGTGCAAACACAAGCAAATGCTTACCTTCCCCTTACACTTTGCTTTGTCAATGATTTTCAGGGCATATTCGTGTCCGGAGGATCTGCACAGAACACAAACATTGTGCATCATTCATCAACATTACATCATTAACTCAACACAACAGGCGTGTTATTTACAGTGGGAGACAGAGACACATCCATCATGGCACTCGGTACCATTCCCGACGATCGCTCATAAACGTTCCTCATAGCCAAGCGCACGAGCCGGTGGTGCGGCATGCAATTAAACATTTCCCTGAACGACCAGCAGAGTGAGCCCAATGCCCACCACACTCACCCTTGACTATCCCTCGCAAAGCAAGATTTGGGTTGCTTATGTGAAACCAAAGTAAATGGAAAAACATTTGAAAAATAAAACGAGCTCATATCAATAAATAAATAAAGCAAACAAACGAATTTCACACAAACCAATGTACAGCTCCTTTGTCAATGGATTAGGGCCTCCACATGTCACGTAGGTTGCGGCTAACGACAGCAAAGGACCGAGCGATTTTTTTGTATTAGCACTGCAGCCGATGAGGGATTAACGGTTGCGTCACCGGCGCCAATTCGACTCTACGGGAGCCCCCGTGGGAGCCGTGTGTCCCCTCCACTCACCGCTCGATGCACTCCCGCACCACCGCAAAGTTTCCGTCACCGATCACCTTGCCGATTTTGTACTTGGCCGTGATTGCCGATGGAGGGTGGAACTTTCCTCCATTAATAACTGGGGTTGGGGTGGAGGAATAACAAAGAATTGAAACCTCCGTGCCTCCGATTAGCACGGTTGGCTACATAAAGTGCGCGAAAGAAGTGACCTTCACGTCTTCATAGCCCAGATCAGAAGAGGGTCAAGTGGAAGATGGCGGCATTCACATGACTAATTCCATCAACACATCTATCAATGATCTCGTGCTCCCCAGAGAAACAACTAATCCATGCCTTAGTGTGGTTGTACCACCTGCACACTCAATAGCAAAGCAATGTATGTATTTTGAACTTCTTTCACACCGTACTTAGCCAACCGTGCTAATCGGAGGTGTCATGGTTATATAACACTGAGAATTTTTTTTCGTCCAGTAAATACTTATTGAGCGAGTTCGCAACTACAAATATATTGCACCAAGGGGGAATGTGTAGAAATGGCACGAACTAACATTGGTCGAACGTGGAATTTTAAATGTGAAGTGGAATAGACTCTCAAAAACTGATCAAAACTTAGTGGCTCCCTAAAGACATTCATGTTTCAGAAAAGAGGCCAAGATGACATCTTATTACTAAACCAAATGTTTTAAGCCATCAAACAGGAAATGCCGTGGGCTTCAATTACACGATAAAAATATTGTTTTGGCCATGATCTTTCAGGAACGTAATATAAGGTTTACATCACAGCTGATATGTGCACCATGCCTGATGCGCCTCTATGCCCCCACGACATGGGTGTACCATCAGTGGCACTAGAACACGTACCATACGTTCACACCTGGAACTGGGTTCTCTCATCATTGTTTACTTGTCTATATACTTCACAGCAAAATGTGCACCGCATTTTAGTAAAATTGTTTATAAACTTTCGCCAGCTTCTGACCAAAAGTATGAAAAGTCAGATCATCCATCTACATCTGACACTCTGGTACATTACGAGTGTCTCTCATCTATCAAGAATGGTGGACAAATTATTTCTGATTTACAGTAACAATTGGTTGCCATATTGTGCCCAAGTGAAGTCACTTAATGATAACACTAATGGTGATCCACACGAATTAAAGTGTCTCAAACATACATCTGGAATTGTGGAACTGCTCAAACGTAGCTTCCGTAGACATTTTATTTTTGAGTGAACGTGAAGAGGCCAGGGTTGTCGCGGCTCTCACGGCAGACTCGGACTCACCAGAGTCCTCGGGACTGGGCCCGTTGAGGGAGTCGTCCGGCTCGGTTCCCCGCGGGGAGGCGAGGGACGAGTGAGACCCGCTGTACGACGGGCTCTGCCGCCCGTCAGAGGAGGAAAAAGAGGAGAACAAGAGTCATCATCATCAGCCATGATCTTCTTTCACTGCGCTTTCAAATGCGCTTCTGTAGCCGTCTGGAACGCTCTTACTTCCGAAATTAGGAAGCCACTGGAGCTATGCACTTTTAAATAATCTAGATTGAAAACTCATTTCTTTAGAACTGCTTTTTGTGTTTAATTTGTTGTCCTTCCCCCGCACCTCCGAATAGCACAGTTGCCTACGTGCAGTGCGATAGAAATTCAGCATACATACATACTTTAAGCATGTTGGTATCTTGCTTTTGTGTTATATTCAGTTCAAATATCTCCCCCAGAGTGTGGAGCGAAATGATGGACAGCGTGCCGAACAACACGCGGCACAACGCGAAAACACATCAGACAGCACTACATCAAAACAGCGACAACCTACGCATTCACATTCAGTTCAGCTTTCCAAAAGCAATGCAACCTGCTCCAGTCCACCTCTTTGTTAAAAAAAGTTATATCTCGGTATGCCTTCAATGAATCCCGTGGGTACAGATGATTTGATGGGTTTTAAAGTTGTGTCCCTGTGACAAATATCTTCAACTGTTTTGAAATACAAAATGCCTTTGTTTTGCCCCATATATTCATCCTCAATGCAACTTTGCAGCCTTCTTTACTCAATAAAGTTAATGAATAATTTAATGGAAATAATTCATATTTACCAGCAGTCAAACCATTTCTCAAATGATAAGGAGGAAGCACCATAGGTTACATCCGAAGAGGTAAATTCTGCCCTTCGCATTACAAAAAAATCAAAAGCTCCTGAACCAGATGGGATAACTGTGGACATCATAAAATAAGCGGGACCAGCTGTCGGAATAAAACGAAGACAGCCAATTGCGTACGTTAACATATAATAATATACCTCAATAGCTGAAAGAAGAATGATTGTTATTCCGTTCAAGGAGACACAAAAGTGACTTGAAAATTGGCAGAACGAGTACTGTAGCTTCATATCATGTGTATATAAATTGTTGATGAAGATCGTCATTAACAGGATGGACAATTTAGAGGCCAGCCGATCACTTGAACAAAGTTGGATTTAGAAAGGGTTTGTTTTTAAAACAATCAACCACATACAGACTACAAATCAGATTGTATAAATGACAAACGAGTAGCAAACACTAAAATGCATGTGTAGATTAGGATAGGACAATTTGACTCGGTGAATAATGACGCAGTCATCCAAGCTCTTACAAACCGGGGCCTCAATTAAAAATAAATACTCTTAGAAATTATTACGAATCTCAGGCTGGCCCATGACAACAACGTCATTATAACAGCCAATAGAAATGAATGAGCACTAAACATATCAAACAGTAATAGAGTAAACGGCATTATGTGTACCCCTATATTTTATTAAATATATCAGCCATGACTAATACACTGCTGGATGACAGCCTTCCCAACTTGGCACCATCTCTAGTGATGTAAGAATCCACCCAGGACCGACACCCGAGTTGATTTCATCATTCCATCTCCTCGGTCGCCACCATCTCGGACGAGTAAATTTCCTTGGCTGCCACTTGGCTGTCGTGATTCTTGACCATCGGCAAAATGTAAACTGAAGATAATTTATCGTGAATTGTGAATACTACCAGGGCCAATGCTGCCGGCTTAATCTATACATTGCATGAATATCCAGCTTCATCTCTTCCCTCGACCCCCCCTTGCTTCACTCCATTGCGGATCAGCGTGGAGCTGGGCTGGGTGCGGCAGCCTGCGTTGATTTACTGCTAGGGAGCTCTGAACGTGGTTGGAATGCTAAATCACAGTGGTGAGAGTACATGGAGGCAAGGCCTATTCAACGAGCCCGCATTTCCATAACACCCACTGCGCTTTAGGGCGGACCAGCATGTACCAATGTTCATCTGCTGGTGATTTTACTCATGAGTCATTGAATCTCAAGACACCCAAAAACAACCCTCATCTAAAAATAACAATAATATCACGGTGTATGGTCACTGCTGTTGTTTCAATGGTTTCGGCCAGAAAGGGGCATGCGTGGCTTGGTGGCTGAGGCAACGTGCTCTCATCGCAGTGCAGAGTTTCGGTCGAAAGTATGAACTCGTCGGGAAAACCATAAACTGAACTGAAAAATTGCACCTTTAAACCGACAAGTCCTAATTTTAAACGCCTCCTGCTGTCGAGGGCGTAGGAGTGCACACACACACGCGTGCGCATCGCACTGTCGAGGACGTAAGAGTGCACACACACGCGTGCGCGTCGCACAAATTGAGACACCAGTTTATAAAAAAAAAAACTGCACCACTAAGCTCTTGCTAATTGCAAAGCACCACATTTTTCTGTGCGTGGACAGACTGGAAGTAATTTATTGTTCCCCGATAAGGGTGGTTGAGAGCGGATGGGGGGGGGGGGAAGGTTGGGGGAGGGGGGTGAGGATGTAATTCACAGCATGAAGATGCCATTCCAGAGGGGCGGGCAGGTTGGGACCGCGCGCCAACCTCCTGCGCAAAGGCTGCATCGCACGAGATTTATCGCTTTGCCATGTTCATCGCGCAATGCGTATTCGCGCTCCGCTTTACGAGTCAACGTTATACCGCGCGTTCAGCTCAAATGACATTGTAGACGAAACATACGGCAACTTTTATTTATGTTTATACCTACTGTTACAAACGAAAAAAATTGGACATATTGTGTTGTGGGTTCTTTTTTTAATTCAAGGATTAAAATGGGGATAGAGAAAAATACAGAAGCATGTTGTTACTTAATAACCATTCCTAATGGAAAAAATATGTATGCCAAAGTACAATGCTGCACTGAGATTTAAATAATTATGTTATTAATAATTAATATACACCCCTGTGTCCATACTTTACCATGGTGGTCAAAATAAGTCAGTAAACGAGAGGTGACCCAAGACCGCTTAAGATGCCGCCGACGTTAGCCACAGCTGAGAATCGAACTCAGGTCGCCAAGTTCACAACGCAGTGCAATAACCAATGCGCCACTGCTCTGCCGTTGAAATTAAACACCTTAATGAACAAAAAACCCAAGTAATTCACTGGCTTGATAGGGCCTAGAAGTCCTAATCACAGTCTGTTTTTCCCATATCAAATACATGTGCTTTACTCCAACGGATCCCTCAAAATTTCGGCAGCTTACCTTGCGACGACGCAGGCTACCGGGCGAGGTTGAGGCTGGGCTGGGCGACTTGGCCATGCTTGGGGTAGACAACTGGCTGCTCGGAGTACTGGTAACTGTCAAGAATGAATAAGTTACACATGAGAAGAACAATTGTTACAGCTGATGTGGGTCATAGGTTCTTGTGTAAAGTTTTAAATCAGGCTAACTTCAAGAACAAGAAGCATTTGATTCACATAAAAGAGATTAGAAGTGTCCGATGGCTCGGCGGGCGGGCGGGGGCAGGCAGGGGCAGGCAGGGGCAGGGCACTGATTTGGGTTTGACGAGAGTAAAAATCACACAATTCAGATGTTTTACTTAATTTAGCACATAGAATAAAAATAAAAAAAATTCTCGAAAAGAACATATGTGAAAGTGCTCCAACTAGAGTTTGGGAACAACAACAAAATATCACTTCGAAAGAATCTTAGAAGAAATTGGGAAGAATAAGCAGATTCATTGTCTGTGCAGCCCAAACTTCCACATTTATTCTCTGTTGCAGAAATTTCAATAAATGGACACTTTCGAAACTAAGTATTACTCAACCCAACAAGGCGACCAAAAGGCTAATTTAAAATGTTAACCCCAAGCCAAACAACGCTGAGATTTCATCTAATTCTTCACACTGTGCACACATAAAAGCCGAATTGACCGCACGAGAATCAAACATTTAGTTTTTTCTTACAATGCCGTTTATACAAAGAGAAAGATTGTCTTTTATATTCATAGGCTGCTGGGCAACATGCTATTCGTGAGCACCTATTGATGCTGGCATGAAACAAAATTGAATCGTGGGTCCAACAAAACTCACATTCAACTGCTTTTGTCCCTCCAGCGCTGATATTGACACACTGCACCAGCACACATTTTTAGGCTGAATTGGCCTTAAAACCATGATACTATGATGCACTAAGGCTATTTTAGGAAATCTATAAGACAACTGTAAATGTAATTGTCAATAATTTCCAAGATCTACACAAATGTAATCACTGTTCCCCCGAACAGGAAACTAGGATGTCAACTTGCAATTAACCCACAGACATAGGTCACATGACTACTCAAGGCTGTGTGCTCTGTAATCAAATTTTTGCTCATTAAACACACTTATAACAGTTTTCAGTGACAAAACAAAACTCGGTCACTTTATTGCAGTACCATATCAAGTAAATGCGTTACCGTTGACAATGGCCAGAAGTTACCCCAGGTGATGCTCAGATGCCGTTTGCTATGATCGTGAAAGGCCTTCAACAAAGATGTTCCTTGTCGAGATTATATTGTTGTTATTTATCTGCATGGACACTGCTCCGCGTTATTAAACACGCAGACACAAACCAATCCCACACACGCACGACCGTGTGATCCTTTTTGGCCTTTCAGACATCACATCTGCAAGTACTCGCATGCCGTCTCTGATGGCCTATGAGTAAAGAACGACAAACTCAAGACGAGGCCGTCAAGATTCCCAGGCTTGCAATTAACAGAGCTCATTTGTGACATTAATGAGCGCTGTAGTAGAAATAACAAGGTGTGCTGCTCTTCAATTGCCAATTATGGTAGGCATCAGCAGGGTTCCACAAACAAAGAATGCAATTATAACCAGGACATTTTGCTTCAGTTTCTGTCTTCACTATCCTCTAAACAATACTTTTGCCAACTAGGTTATTTCCGAAAACATTTAAGGGTCTTCCCAACAGATTTAAGCCCTGTTAACAAAATCCAAGGAATGCAGCGCGTTTCAGAACACACCCACCGAGTAGATGGAGCGATCAAATCAACGCGTGTGTCAATTCCAACAGGGACTTATTTTTTCCCAACTTGCAGACATCTATTTGTAGGTAAAAAAAACTGAAATATTAAATGACGACAAAGCTAGTGGAATATGTTATAAGACTCCGAGAAAGACTCTGAGAATGGCACATCAGATATCCAACGATTCAATGTGCATCACGGCGGTCAAGAAGAGTAGTGGATTCTGCCCGGGCCCTAAAATACTAGGTATGGTGGGGGTCAGGGAGGGAAGTGCCTTACCAGGTGACCTCACGGGCGATCGAGCAGTAGAAAATATGCTGGATCCTCGTACTGTCCTCGGCATACAGGGGTGGCACAGGGGTAAGACAGCGCACCAACAGACAAAGGACATCACAACATCATGCACACCGCACAAGGAACACATGGAATTATTAATTCTAGAACCTTCGATGTTTTTCACATCATGTACGCTGTATGCAATGGGTTCACGGAGACCCCTGCAGCCCCCTGTAGCTTCTACAATCACCGCAATGTAAAAATAATCGTCGAGTCGTGAATCTCGAATTGTGAGAATGTCATCGTATTGGCAAGAGGGTGAAATGTTACCCCCACACCCGATTAGCGTGGTTGGCTATGTACGGTGCGAAAGAAGTTCAACATGCATCCATACATTGTACACATAAGTAGTGTCCTTTTGCTGAAATAGTCAATCAATTCGCACTGGTTACACATATCAAGACTAATTGGCACTGGGCCTTCATTTGGTCACCCTTGGCTCAACAGTGGCTTATATTTTTGTGCTATCTGGTAACATTTGAGATTCACGGTGACATTTTCTAAGTTAGTCCTACCATGCAACTTCAGAACCACTGGGCTTTCCTCAAGTGAATGTTAATTCAAGTTAAAAGTAAAAAAATGTGTGACGCGCACAGTGTCCATAGATTCAGAGTCACGGCAAACCACAGACATGCAGGTATGCAGCCAAAACCGGCGCAAACAAATGCCCAAGCTCTATGGCCCTATATTTAAAGTAAGCTGAAGCAGCCTGATAAACCCATACATACAAAGGGGCAACACTAAATCCTACACAGATGGAGTCCACATTTTCTGTATCCCATTTCTCCTGGCAAGTCATGGTGTATGGCACCTCGATGTCCAGGGCACTGAAGTTTCACAACTATTGTGTGGATCCACCAACCTAGCGAGGATATAATGAATGTGTTTAGAGAATGCAATATGGAGTCATCCTAACTACCTGGATTGAGTGTCATGTGTCAATTCCATTTCATCATGAATAAACACAAGGTCTCTCCAGGCAGCAGCAGCAGCCACAGTTATGAGATGTGCATTATGATACTGCTCTTCACTTCCATAATAGTAGGAAATTAATGAATAAAAAATGAAATCTGCCAGAGGTGACCTGATTAAGTCATCTCTTCTGAGTGGAATTTTCAGGGCCCGAGGGGAAGCCGAGGCACGTGTGGGAGCACTAAGGGTTTGGTAAGGAGAGAATGGTACTGCCGAGAGGGGGTGATGACAATGGCATTGGTGGTGATGATAGTGGGAGGTGATGGCAGTGGCAGTGTTGTTGGTGGCAGTGGGAGGAGGAGGTGGCGATGGTGGGAGGTGGTGGTAGCGGTGGGAGACCTGAAACAGGAGATTTGCTCCGGCGTGACGATCCGGGGCTCCTCAGGCCACGCGGTGGTGGCACCGTCACCTTGGAGTAGGAGGAGGCCTTCATCACCCGGCACTCTGAGAGGCGCAGGTGTACCACCACACACACGCACATGCACACATACTAGACACCGGTACTCAGTACTGACAGCAGCCACAAGACTCTCAGACACCCATCACAATCATGTCAAGACTGCCAGGCTCTTCAGCAGTGCAATTGCGCTTGATGAGTGTGGTGAATGTGAGGGTTTTTCAGATATATATTTTTTTCCACAGATTATTTTTACTTGAGGTATCTTAGAACAGTTCTAGATTTGAAGTTTTTGTGACTGCAAGGATTCATACTCTTTGTTTTTTTCGGTAAAGTCACGTAGGTAAAAAATTATAATAAATTAAATCACGACGTTTCGGAGGCAACACAAGCTTCCGGTGGAACCGTCACAGCAAAATTACTGTACAGTAAAATTACTGTACTGTAATTACTGTACAGTAATTTTGCTGTGACGGTCTTCAGGTGGAACCGTCACAGCAAAATTACTGTACAGTAAAATTACTGTACAGTAATTTTGCTGGAACCGTCACAGTAAAATTACTGTACAGTAATTTTTACTGTACAGTAATTTTTACTGTACAGTAATTTTGCTGTGACGGTTCCACAGTAAAATTACTGTACAAATTACTGTACAGTAATTACTGTACAGTAATTTTTCTGTGACGGTTCCACCTGAAGACGGAAGCTTGCGTTGCCTCCGAAACGTCGTGATTTAATTTATTTTAATTTTTAACCTACGTGACTTTACCGAAAAAACCGAAGAGTATCTTAGAACTGTCCTTGTGCGATTTTTGTGAATTGAAATTTGACCATGTCCCACTGACCTTCACCAAGGTCATAAGAGAGATGTCTTGAGCTGTATGCAAAACGTATATATATTTTCATTTACCTTAAGACATATCCCTGCTCTGCAGGATCACAAACGTGCACGTGTCGTGTGTACTTGGGGCATCCATCGTTCAAAGGCGAAGTAATGACATAAAGTACAGCATTTTCTAAATTAGCAGTTGTATGCAATTTTGCAATTTTTTCCATAACCTTGGCACGCAATAGTATACTCTTGAGAACAATGTCAAAGAACACTAATCTCCTCTAAAGTAGACCCCTTTGGCATTCATGGTGCATATTTATATTCCCCTGGAAGGTTTGCAAAATGGAGGTGGGATCAACAATGCACAGTCCTTGTGATCTTCCATGTCGGTACCCAGAACATTTACGACTAGGTTGCCCAGTCACCAAATTGAAATGCAATTCAAATAGCCATTCTGCAGAATTACTTTCATTCAGAATTGCAGAAAGGACTAATTATAATTTCACCTTCAAGTACAGTTGGGCAGGTTTTTTTTTTTGGAAGCTGACAATCAGCCAATTCCAAAGGCCCAATCCCATCCTCGTTCCTTTGATGTGTCCACAGCTCATGATTTATCTCCTTAACCCTTTCAGCTGATTTATTTTTCCCCCACTACAACTCTAACAAGTGTAAGGCTATCTCTCTCTGGTTCTATGGGCTTTAAGGTCCTTCTGAGTCACTTGTATTCTCACGTCGGTGGGGAAAGCGTGCTGGCTATTTTCACGAAAAGGCTGTAATTTAACATGGCAAAACATAAAATATGGGTGGACAGTTGATTGGTGTGGTGGTTAGCACACCACGCTATGAACCTGGTGCCCTGTGTTCTATTCCCATCCACAGCTAACATCGGTGGTGGCTGACATTTAACTGATCCTGGGCTCCACTAAACAACAACCCACACTGACCAATATGGGGTGAAGTATGGTCAAACAACGCCCACAACTGACATGGTGTATGGAAGCCTTCGTCTGCCAGTGGATTGACAAATGGCTGAACATTATTAACATAAAAGACGAGCTGCATACAATTCCCCCAAAAGAATACGGAAATGTCTATCAGAGCAAGGGCTGACCTTGGAAAGACCGTTGGGGGATTTGGGGATGTTGTGGAACCCGAGCTTGCTGAAGCAACCCCACACGGCCCATGGATTTATGATCTTTATCTGACCTTGAAAGATCACACTCAGCTCATCACTGCACCCTAATCATTTGCCCTTAAACAACACGCACAGAGGTCTTTAAAATTAGAGGCGTGCGTTTGCAAACACCATAATTTGGAAACAACAGCGTTACATTTGTTCATTGCGTTCTTCAGCCCACGGACCTAAATTGGCTAACCGATGCAGGCGCTGCAGCTGTTCTATTAAAAGGCTCCAATTATGCGCAGTGGCTGGGATGCTGCCTCTCCCACGAACGCCCTTTACACAAGCGCCTGCTGATGGGGCCAGACGTAACCAAGGCAACCCCCTTGCCACCGTGAGGTTGCCATGCCAACGTAATGGCCGTTCCATCTTTTTTTCAACTGAATTTGAAGCGAGGCATTCCATTTTTAATGCATTTCGTCATCTGCGGGGATTTTTAAATGCCGAGCCAGAGTCTTGGCGGGGCCGTTGCCAGCGCAGACAAAGGTTGCTGCGTCGCGCACCGCTGAAATAAGCAACGTTGGCAAAATGTATCAGGGCACGGTACATCGCCTGCATTCACCCTGCAGCCATTATCGTGGTGCAAACAAAGCAACATTGTTTAGCGTTTAGAAATAAAACTATTCACGGGGTCCTCACAACAAAAATTACCGATGTTGGCCCCAGAAGCCAAACAAATGAAAGCTGCCGTGGCATATTAATAGCCACTGCTAATACACTGGTGGTGACATTAAACCTGTAATGTGCAGACGGAAATAATAAAGAAGGGTTATCAACGAGCCTGTTGTAAATCACAAAGAAGGGGCCATGCCCAGATATAGGCGAGTGGGTAAAATCCAATTTAGTGCCACTGACAGAGCCCTGCTTGGCTTCGAAGTGCTCGGCGTGGTTTGAGTGTGCGTCGGATTCTAAACCAGCGTGAAGGCATTCATCAGACGGAACTCGGTGGAGCTGTGACAGATTCATCCCCCGCGGGTGTCAAACCTGTGCCCTTTATCAAATATCTGTACCCGTGAAATGACACACGCAGGCTCATGTTTGAGAAATTACAAAGGTTCCATGACTTGTAAAGGGTTTTTTTTCCTTCTTTCTTGTTTCGTTCAAGACAGTTTTTGTTTTGTTATATTAATTAGGCCAATGTTTCTCGATTGTGCCGAGTTTGAGGGTGTTTAGCCTGACACCCACCCCAAGTTGCCATGCCTCGGGGTTGGGCTTTGTAAGGATATGTAAAAATCTGCATAATGACTACATTTACTGATGCTTAACCAAGTATGGAATTAGACTGATGACTTTAATCTAAGTTGTCTTGTGGTTATTGTTGTTTGACTTGCATCCCACTGGGATTTTTGCACACAGCGTTGGTGTACGGTGCTTTTTTCTGGAAGGACTTTGCAGTTTTTTCCTGGATTTTTCTGTTTGCGCAGTCACTTTAAGATGTTTTCTTGTTCATGTTTTTGTTTTGTTGCGGTTGCACCCGATTCAAGAGCCGAATGGCTCACAGGGCTATACCAAATAAACTGAAAACTTAAACTAACACACCACCCATTCACCTTCATAAAGGTTCCTTTAAGCACCCACCACATCAGCTTATTGCAATTACAAAGATTTTTGCTTATTACAAACAAACACCTTGTGAAAGACCCAATGCAGACAGACAATCCCTGAGTTAGATCTTCCACGAAGCTCAAGGTCGACCCTAAACCAAATCTGCACAAACCATGACAGATGCGTATGCACAAATGGAAAATTAAAAACTCTCCAGTGTGCGACTGTGGTCATCCAAAACTGATCATACAACGTATAACACAATACCCAATCCACAAATGCGAAGGAAACATCACAGCAATACACTCCACCACTACTAACGCGGTTATCTGGCTTGACCACCTGAATGTGAAATCGTAGTTGTTACTCTGCATCTACATCAGCCATACATTGTTGAAGGCTCACCAAGTATCAAGAAACTGGAGTACCCACAGAAAACCACACACACGAGGGGACAACACTCAAAGCTTCATAACAAAATGATTATATCCACAGACTGGATCCAGTGAGAGGACTGAATTTATCTGTGGACTGCACCCACTGATCTGCTGCCATCTATTGGCACCTCACAGCACTGACAGCCCCACACCGACAACACCTAGTATGCACTGATGGGGTCACCCATCCAAATACTAACCAGGCTCAAGCCTGATTAGCTCCCAAGATCGGATGAGATCCGTCACTTTCAGGGCGATTTCCTCAAAGGCTGTACTTTAGTACTTTTGTATTCCACTGATGCCAACTGCAGGAACAGTCACTGCAACACAATGCATGCTATGAAACACTACAGAGGCCGTTTTTAATACATCATCTCTCTGGAAACAAATAGTGGAAAATAAGGCACATCAAATATATACATTTAGCAGATTATCACAATCTTACGGTTCTGCTTTGCAGATGAGCAGTCAAACGTTGGCAGTTGGGGGTGTGGTATTCGCGAATGGTTCCCGGTGGAAATTGGTTAGATCATAGATGCATAGTGGCATTATATTTGCTAATGCTACCATTAATTTAATATTGCCGTGCTATAACATACTACAGACAAACCCCTATGTAACATATGTTCAGCTAAATTTAACTTAATGCGCGATGCTATAATTGTATTAAATATATGCAACTACTGTACTGGCTGATGAGCCTACTGTTTGTGCACTACTATGTATCTAAACATCTCGTCATCAGTATAACTATCATTTTATTTCAATGTCGTGAATTTTGTCGACAATGTTGTGGGTGTCTCTTAGCCATATCTAAACATATCAGGGGTACCCTGACACCCAGGACACCCACGGTGGCTGCGTCGCTGCTTCTGCTTCATAGTGGTGGAGTGTGCGGAGTGGAGTTTCCCTAAAAAAATGGATGTCGAGCTGTGTGCAGGACTCACCGCCCTCATCGATGAGGAAGTCGTCCGAAGCATAGCGAAACTTCTCCGGGCCGCACGCTATGAACACATCGTCTTCGCCAAAGAAATCCTGCAGACAGGCCACCTGGTGTACAGAGACACACACACGTGCAGGGCAAAGACAATGATCACCCCGTAGAGGCAAGTGCTGTCCGTGAGCACCTATTTAAGTCATGGTACCGTCAGAGCAGATGAATGCCACCAAACAGTAATCCAGCAAAAGCAACGGCAATGCTTGTGGAAGGTAACAGAACCCTAGGATGACGTGAAAAAATCTACCCCCACGACAAGGGGTTAGTAATCTAAGGGTGTCACGAAAAAACACCTATTGTTACAACTTTTCGCCAACCCCAACCTTTTTGGCGGTAGCAGCAGGTGTACTTAATCACGCCCAGCCAGAGGGAAAACAAAATAACAGTTAATATAAAACAGCGCTGGAACAATAATCTCTACAACTTGGGAACCTTGCCATACTCTGCAATATCCGTAAAACCATCATTAATCAAGCAAGAATCAATTTAGTGTTGACATTCGCAGATCTAGGCAACCATATGTCACTGCGGCCTGATGTCAAGCCTCCATCATGGCCACCATAAATATAATCTGTCGTTGTAAGCCACTGCTCCAGGCGTTTTTCTGTGGCTCAGCGCTTTTGGCGCTTGTCCACTGGGGACCAGGTTGCAGGGACATGGCAGGGTCGGTGCCTCCTAGGCCTGACACTTGTTCTAGGTTCTCCCTGAACCCAACAAACCATCTAATCCTTGTGTTCATAATGCAAATAAAAAAACGTATCTTAAGTCAGTGTGGCATAAAATATGGAAATATTCCCACTCGGGGTACTATTTACTAGATTATTTAAATTTTACCAGGTAAGACCTACTGAGCATTATAGCTCTTTTTCAGAAGCGACCTGGCCATACATGATAACCGAACGAAGTGGCTTATCATGTTGGAAATGTATAGCAGCCAAATACTCTAAACACATGTTTCTAAATGTGGAGGCAAAAACCACAAAACCCAGAGAAAAATCTACGCAACCACGGGGAGGGACATACAAACTCCAAATATACAAGCATCAGGGTCGGGATCGAACCCACGCACTCATGCATACAAATTCGAATTTTGTTACATTTTGGCAAGTTTAGTGGCCTTTAGTGGCAGTAGGGATCATCTGAATGGATTACATAGCTTATACGAATAGAATAACATCAATCGTTTAAACGTGGCATTATATATATGTATCAAGAACAAAAAAAAATCTATATTCACACCATTAGCGTACACTCACATACTTTGGATGACTACACCAATTTTTTTCTCTTTTACACATTTATGGTTTGATTGTTTGTGACCACACAATTTGCCACATACACCAATGTAATTATTTTATCCAACTTTACCAGGATTTGGATGAAAGCAAGGTATCTCCTAATATAAGCTGTCCAAATAAAACACGATTAATGAATACTTCATATCATACAAGCTTGAGTTTCCGGCACACACACCCCTGCTCACTTAAAAGGGTAGCACTGCTGCCGACTTTAATGACCCAGATAATCAGCAGCAATCCTTCTTTGGCAGGAAATTGTTGTAAAGAGCGCAGATGTTTTAGATGGTCAGTGTAATCTGTCTGAACAGAGACACTCGCGCATGCAATCAACGCGTGTAACGCTAGACCAAGGGTCGGCAACCAAAATAATAAGAGTTGATATTCTTTGGTTCTTTCGGTAAAGTCATGTAGACAGAAAAAATAAAGTGAATAAAAATACGACGTTTCAATCGCAACACCTTTTCCTGATGACGACCGCCTGTGTTGCGATCGAAACGTCGTGGTATTTTTATTCACTTTATTTTTTTTCTATCTACGTGACTTTACCGAAAGAACCAAAAAATATTAATTCCTGCAGTCACGAAAGTTTTAAGTCAAAATTTAACAAGAGTTGAATTTGGTAAAAAAAAAACTCAATATTTCAAGAGCCGCAATGCATGTGAATATGAGATGGTGATCCTTAACAAATATTGTCACAAAGCAGTCCTTAAATATCCGCATGCAGCTCCGGAGCCGCAGGTTGCCGACCCCTGCAATCTTATTTTTTGTCTATCTGTGTGTGTTCGCACGCTTGCGAAGGATTTGGCTCTCAAACGGTGGGGTATATGTTGAAAAAAAATAGCCAGGTACCACGCCGTAAGCCCCGTGGTGAGCAAGCGCTATTCCGTTTTTTCCATCTGTCAACTTAAAAGTAGTTTAATTAGCGATCTAGTGCGATTTTTTTTTATTACAAGCGCTCGGCCATACCAACTCACACGCCTTCGGTGGGGGGGACGGCCCCTACCAAGTCACACGCGTTTGGTGGGGGTGAGGCGGATATTTTCTTCCGGGTTAAAAATGCAATTAAAATACACAAAACGCTCAGGTAAATTCTTCACGGTGTGATATCCCCCCCCCCCCACCCCGATGTGTGCAGTTACTACTATACAGTCGGTAGATGCTACCATTATAGGCCGTAGATATTGGTGCACAGTGGGTGGGAGAATCGTGGCTGGGGGGGGGGGGGGTGGTAGCAGCCCAGCCCCAGCCTGCCAAGGTGCCACCTCGGCCGGCTGACCAATCTAGGCGAGGCCGGGGGCTCTGCACGGGGATAGGCCTCGGCACGGCAATGTTTAGTCCTATTTTATTGCTTCTTTCGCTAAACTCACATTGATAGAAACCTATTATTCAAATAATAACCTTGCAAATATTACATTAATAATTTTGTGTGCAGACAACTAATATTTATATTTCTTGCTTCTTTCGCTAAACTCACGTACATAGAAACCTATTATTTTAATAATCACCTTGGAAATATAAAAATATTTTTGTTTGTGTGCTGACAACTAATATTTCTAAAATTACTTGGTAAATATTACTATAATTATTTTTGTGTCTAAGTCCTTGTGTGCGTGTGAGTATGTGTGTGTCTAGCGCAATGTGTGTGTGTGTGTACGTCCGTGTGTGCACGTCCGTGTGTGTATCAGTCGATGTGTATGTGAGTCAATGTGTGTGTGCGTGAGTTGATATATCTGTGTGTTAGTCAATGTGTGTGCGTGCTCTGTGTGTGTAGACAACTAATATTTTAATATTTAGTTAGTAAATGTTTTATATTTATGTGTGTCTAAGTCCATGTATGCATGTGAGTCGATGTGTGTGTTTAATTGGTGAATGGCGGTTGTTGTTGTGTTTAACGCCATGTGTGTATCTAAAGTCGATGTGTGTGTGCGAGTCCATATGTGAATGTGTGTGTAGAGCAATGTGTGTGTGAGTCTATGTATGTGGGTGTGTGAGTCGATGTTTGTGTGTGTAAGTCCATATGTGTGTGTAGGTCGACGTGTGTGCGAGTCTCTATATGTGTGTGTGTGAGTCAATGTGTGTGTGCGAGTCGCTGTGTGTGTGTAACTCCATGTGTGTGTAAAGTCGATGTCTGTGTTTGTGAGTCCATGTGTGTTTGTAAGTCGATGTGTTTGTGTGTGGGTCAATGTCTGTAAGTGTGTATAAGTCGATGTGTGTGTCTGTCTTTTTCTCCCAGGCAACGCCGGGTGCTTACCACTAGGAGACCATATACTGTAATTCAAATTGCACTTATTGCACTCATTCTAAGCCTTTTAAATTGTGGGTTTGAAAGGCAAAATGAATGTCCGAGGTCATTTCAGTGGGGGTCACGTTCCTTCCTGAGGGACAAGACCGTGCGTTTGTGTGGAAATAAGAGGAGAGCCACTTCAAAGCCACCAAACTGCCAATATTGGCACTGTATTCTGAAAGCCATGATAATGAGCGTGGCCGACAAAGAGCGCCCCTTATCCATGTGTGGTTCCATCTCCTCACAACGGGAAAGGTTCAAGTCACCACGATATCTTTACAAAACATCCATACTCAAGGATGCACTAAAGCAAAAAGGTTGCCAGGAAAAAGATCACCAAACAACAACATTGAGATGCTGCCACTGTTTCCTCCTGCTGCTGATGGTGGTGCTCCAAAAACAATACAGAGGGACTGTTGCTCAGACCAAATCACACACAGCAAAAACCGCTGGCACCATTCAATTGCCCGTCACATGCAAGTGTTTGTGATTACAGTACATGTATGTGGTTTGTTGAGGCCAGGGGTCAGCAAACAAAATAACAAGAGACATTTTTTTTAATTCGGTAAAAAAAATCTATATTTCCATAGCCGCAATGCATGTGAATGACGTCAAGAAACAGTCCTTAAAGAGCCACATGCGGCTTCGAAGCTGCAGGTTACCGACCCCTGGTTTAGGCTAATGAAATGCTTAAAAGTCTGACCGTCATATATAGTGCACCATTAAATAATAATTTGACGAACACATCATTCATATTCTTGGTTCTTTCGGTAAAGTCACCTGAGGACGGCTGCTTGCGTTGTGGCCGAAACGTCGTGAGAATTGTATTTTATGTTTTATTTTTATTATTTTATTATTTCTAAGTGACTTTACGGAAAGAACCAAGAAGATGAATCCCTGCAGTCACGAAAGCTTTAAATCGAAAAAAACATCATTCATAGTTTATGTTTTGCAAAGTTTTCAATTGGTTACAAATACACGATCTTAGTAGCATGAAAATAATCACCATAATCTTGGTACAGCACACTGCTTTGAGGGAGCATCAAAATCTGTGACCATGGGCAATGTAAATGTAAACACGCGCAAATACTCAATAATGTTGAATTTACAAAAAAACGTAGAAAGCATGAATTAAAATGTTAATTTAAGAGCAGTGGCTTTGTAAAGACTAAACAGAGGCCCTCCTCCTCCTGATGAGGCCAGACATCAGGGTTGTGAAGTTGTCACGGCAACGGTTTTATCAACGCACAACAGATCCTCAGCCGTTCCACGGGTGATTTATCACCTTCCACGAGAGAAAATTTTAAATCAGAAACTGAGCTTGAGGAACACTCAGGCCATGGACATAATTTTGATGCTTGTGCTTCTGCCAAACTGTTAGCATGATATAAAACAGTAAAAGACTCCACAAAAGCCCATCATGAACGTCTAGATATTATATGAGCCAATGTCTGTCCATAACGGTCACACG